GAGGATCACCCAGATCTCATTTGGTCAACCCTGGCCACTATCCATCTCCAGGAGCCTCCCAGTGCTACATACCAAGCCCCCATACCTTCCAATTCGCTCCAACAGCCCATGACTATGCATAGGCAATGTATACCCAGCCAAAACCTGCCCCCAATTGCTGAGTTTGCTGGAAATGCAAGTTTTCGCTCCACAGATCCCTCCTCACCTCTCTACCCTCTCCAACTCGATGCAGATGTCCACTGGAATGCAGATACTGGTGCCACTGCACATATGACCCCTCATTGCCACTGGCTGCACAATTACACCCCCAAATGTGTCCCTGTGAGACTGGCAGACAACAAATTGGTATACTCTGCTGGAGTGGGCTCTGTGGTGTTTGTACCTGTGGTCAGAAGCCAGAAGCATCACCCTGTGGAGATCACCAATGTCCTGCATGTCCCTGACCTGTGCAACAACCTGCTCTCTGTCTTATATATCTGTTGCAACAGGGGCTTCTCTGCAAGCATCAATTCTTCACAGATATCCTTTAGATGCCCCCCTGGGCCTGTCCTCTTCATTGCAAGAATTATGGACAACAATAGCACTTTCCTGGAGGGGGAGACACTCCCCATCACTGAATATGCCTCTGCTGCAACCACCTGCCCCATAGACCTGGACCTCTGGCACAGAAGGCTTGCCCACCACCATGTGGCTGGTGTTAAATTGCTTCCAGAGCAAAATTTGGTCACTGGCATGACCCTAGACTCAAACTCCTCCCCTGATCCCATCTGTGAACCATGTCTGGCTGGCAAGATGCATGCAAATCCCTTTCCTAGCTCAACTTGGCATGCAACAAGGCCTCTGGAACTTGTCCACAGCAATGTGCATGATGTAGGCCATCTCTCCTTCTCAGGATATTGATATTGGGTCACTTTCATTGATGACTACTTGTGTTTTTGCTTTGTCCTGCCTCTCAAGGCCAAATCTGAGGTCTTTGATGCATTCCAGAGGTTCAAGGCATTTGCAGAGAACCAATCTGAGTGAAAAATGAAGATTTTGCACAATGACAAAGGAGGGGAGTATATGAGCAAGGCCTTTGAAGATTTCACATCGAAATGTGGCATTTTGCACCAGCACACTGTCAGGAATCACCCCCAACAGAATGGAGTTGCAGAGAGAGCAAATAGAGTGCTATCTGAGCACATCACTGTGATGCTGGACAAGTCTGGGCTCTCCAAGGCCTTCTGGGGTGAGTGTCTAGCTGCCCTGGTCAATGTCTGGAATCAGTGCCCCACTGAATCTCTCCAAAATGCGACCCCATATGAGCTATGGCATGGAAGGAAGCCAGATGTCTCCCATCTTCAAGTGTGGGGCTGTACTGCCTATGTACATGTCCAGAAAGACAAGAGGTGCCCTCTGGAGTCCCACACAGAGAAATATGTCCTTATTGGCTATCCAGAAGGTTACAAGGGCTGGAAATTCTACAATCCCACCTCCAAGTGCACCATAATCTCAGAAAGGGCTGACTTTGATGAAAGGTACTTCCCCCTGTCCAAGCGCCCTTTGTTACCTTCTCTGGATGCTTCAAACCCACCCAATCAACCTCCATCTGCACCTCCAGCTTCCAAACCATCTTACTACCACCCTCACCCAGATTCTGACTCAGAAAGTGACTCTGGAGATTCCCTGGATCATGGGGGGGAGATAGAGCCTCTGGAGCCTCCAGCAGCTGATCCAGTGCCTATCCAGCCTCTCCCTGCTCAACCAGCTCAAGATGCGCCACCTCCTCACACTCCATCACCTGCACCACCCCCAAGAGCCCCTAGTCCTGTTGGCATAGGTGCCAGACTACCCAGAAGGCAAAGACAGAAGCCCAGAGAGTGGTGGAAGCTCTCCCCTGCTCAATTGGAGGACTCTGGTGATGAAGAAGACTCTGATGATGAGTTGGCCATGTCTGCAGCCCTTCCAGATGAACCTCTTACATTTGCAGAAGCCATCAGTCACCCTGATGCAGAAAAATGGTGCAAAGCAGCCCTGGAGGAGTTGGCAGCTCACCAGACAAATGGCACTTGGAAACTTGTCCCTAGACCCCCTGGATGCAAAGTTATTGGCTCCAAGTGGGTATTCAAGGTCAAGAGGAATGCTGATGGCTCCATAGATCGCTACAAGGCCAGACTTGTGGCGAAAGGCTATAATCAGTACCCTGGCTTTGATTATCTCAAGGTTTTTGCTCCTACAGTGTGCCTTGCCTCTGTCAGAGTGGTTCTAGCTCTTGCAGCTCTCCAGGACCTCCACCTGCACTCTGTGGACATCTCCCATGCCTACCTGAATGGGGAGATGGACTGTGAAGTCTATATGGCACAACCTGAAGGATTTGTGGAAGGCAACTCAAAATCTCATGTCTGCCTGCTCCAGAAAGCCATCTATGGCAGCAAACAAGGTGGCAATCACTGGAACAAGAAAATGCGCTCTGTATTGGAGTCCCTGCACTTCAAACAAACCTATTCTGATGCCAGCATCTATATCTACTCCAAGGATGGTGTCTCCATCATCTTGCCTGTTTTTGTGGATGATATGATGCTTCCTTTGTCTTCTGAGGCTGCCATAGACTCCTTCATCTGCCAACTCAGCCAGCACTTCAAACTGTGAGATCTAGGACCAACCACCCAACTCTTGGGCATCAAAATTGACAGAGATCGCCCCAATTGCTCAATTTTGCTCTCCCAGTGCCAATACTGCCTGGATTTACTGGAAAGGTTTGGCATGGCTGACTGCAAGCCACTATCAACACCCATGGAGCCAAATCTTTGCCTCTCTCACTCCCAGTCTCCCCAGGATGCCTCAGAAATGGAGAAAATGTGCCAAGTACCTTACCTCTCTGCTGTAGGTGCTCTGATGTACCTTGCCACCACTACCTGCCCAGACATTGCCTACACTGTCAGAGTTCTGGCCAGATTCAACTCCAATCCTGGCTGGGCTCATTGGCAGGCTGTGAAGCACCTAATGCGCTATATCAAGGGTACTCTGGACTATTCCCTGACCTATTCTCCTGGTCCTTCAACCTCTGAACCCTTCACCACCTTCTCTGATGCAGATCATGGTGGCTGCAAGGATACTGGTCACTCTACAGGTGGATATGTTGTCAAGATGGGCACTGGTGCAATCTCCTGGTGTTCCAAGCTTCAAAACATTGTTGCTCTATCTACCACTGAGGCAGAATACATAGCAGCTGTCCAGGCAGGCAAGGAGATCAAGTGGCTTTGAAATTTACTCTCTGAAATTGCTTCTCCACTCTCTTCTCCCTCTGTGCTGCACATGGACGACCAATCTGCCATCTCTGTGGCCAAGAATCCTGAACACCATGGCAGAATGAAGCAACTTGACCTCTGCTTCTACTGGCTTAGAGATGCAGTCCAGGACAACCTTATTGTGCCCACTTTTGTCCCCACTGATGCCCAGGCTGCTGATCTGATGACCAAACCACTGTCCAAGGCCAAGGTGATCAACTTCTGTCAGATGCTAGGACTAGGTGCATCAAGTGGGAGTTCTTAATGTGCAGAGGTGCACAATCAGGGGGGAGTGTTGCTGTTAGTGCCTGTGCACCTCAGACTAATTCCCCAGGTTCCCCACCTTCCATATTAATGATGTGTTCACTTATTTTCCTCAGTTGTTCTTTGTTTGTTCAGTGTTTGCATTTTCACTGTGCACAGAGTCTCTTGTTCTTTAGTTACTGACTCTGTGCACATAGAGTGCTGAGTATTGGGATATCTTAACAGTTTCTTATCCTGGGCTCTGCCCATATTGTTATCACTCATAGTTGATGAAGTTTTAACAGTGGCAGTGCTGATCCAATCTGTGGTGTGTGTGTTGAATTGGCAAGGGAGTTTTCTATTTCTGGGCTCACAGTTTCCAGCTTGGTGCTGATGCTGCTCCTCATCAATAACATGTTTTGCCTTCTCATACCTGACACACTCAGACTTGAGAGTCACTAAGGAGATCATGGTGGCATCATACCCATTCTTGGTGAGTTCCACTCATAGATAAGGTTGGCAGCACCTCCAGAATGCTAACATGACCTCATGTTCACCTATGTCTCTGACAGTGTCTGCTATTTCTTGGAGTTGGCACAAAAAGTCCAATACTGAATGGTGATCCTGTCAGCATGCATCAAATTTATCACATTGCTGCATCTGGAAATCTGCTGGGAATATGCAGTTAAAGAGTGCCTTGAAAAATTCAGTGAGGGAATATTGTTTTCTCAAACCTAGGATGTCCCTTTTGTAGAACTGGTAAGCATGCCCACTCAAGTATTTCCCAGCAATATGGATACTCTTTTTGCAGTTCAAGTGTGCATGTCATACCAAATCATGAAGCTCCCAACACCATTTCTTGAATAGTCTGACCTGAACTTTGCCTTTGTATGTGAATGGTGGGTCTTCCTTGAGGAATGCCTGCTGATACCTCAGTTTGTTCAACTTAGCCTGGTAGCATTGCTTCTTCTCATGCTTCCATGCCTTCATTTGATCTGAATCAGCTGTGATTGTGCTAGATGGTTCCTCTCCTAGGAAGTCAGACCCAAATGAGGACAAACCATCTGAGTTCAAGGAGTCATCAGTCAAAGATGAAGAGTCAGATGAATCCCTGGGCACAATTGGTCTGTGAGGTGGGCCTCCACTACTTGGGAAGGGGTTCCTGCTACCCTCCCTGCCACCAGATCCGGAATCCAACGAGTCTGGGTTGTCATCATCAGGGTCCCCACACATTGCTCTCAGTAGTGTGCTCTGGTGGGGAAACACACTCATTGCATGGGCTAATGGGGTGGTTCTATGGCCAGATACATTGGCATATTCTTTCTTCTTGTTTGGTAATGTGGGGCCTTTATGTGTCTTATCATTCATGAAGTTGAGCAAGTTCACAGCTTCAATATTCTCTTTCTGTTCCAGTCTGAGCCCAGACAATCCTATTCTTGCTTTGTTGCAAAGATTCTCCTTTCTTAGAGAATTAATAATAGCTTGCTGCTCTCAAATGATTGTCATTGGGTCATCATCACCACTGCCATGGGGGAGGATGAAGGGTAAGTCATTCTCATATGCTTTGATGGCTCTGCCATCTTCAATTGCATGGCCCTTCCCTTTTTTGGATGACACAACCTGCAGTTCACCCATCATTGAGCCACTATCAACTTGTGGCTGCACTGCTATGGGTCAAGTCCATTCCTGCAGGATCTCACCAAAGTAAGAGTCATCTTCCTCAAACATGGACCAGTCCAGCTGTCTCACTGGTGCTGGTGTGGATTCCTTCATGTGTGGTATGTCCAGCCTTACCCACTCTTTGGGTTTCTCTGGTTGATAGCTCTCATTCCATACTGCAGGCCTTTGTAGTTTAAATTTATTAGCAGGAGCTGGTGTCTGTACCAAATCAAGATCCTCATTCGTTTGCGACTCAGCATCCATCTCAACTACTGTGTCGAGGTGCTGGCGCCAGACACTGTCATTGTTTACAGTGCCCATTGGTTCTTGGACGATGCAAACTGAAAATAATGCATATCCGTCCGTACTGCAGTCTGGAGACTCGGGAACTGTGGGAGAGGTCACCCGAGAGATTTGCATCTCATCGGTGATGCTCTCCCCATTCTGCTCGGTCTCACCGAATACCCAGGGGCCAATCACCGTGGGTTCCATGGTCGAGCACCGACGCTCTATCTCACTGTTGACACTAGCTGGAGTAAAGGAAAACATGTTCAGCAAGTCGCGACTAGGTGACTACGCACTCGGTTGATCAGACCAAGATGGAGTTTGACGTCGTTGCGAAGGGTTTCAACTAGAGGGAGTAGAGCAAAGAGAGAGGGAAGAGGTAGTTTCAAAATATGTGACGGTCACAGGACTTGGTCACACTAGTAAGAGTGTTTCCGTCGAAAGGTCTCAAGCGTCGTTCGTCAGAACTGGCCAGGGGTCTCTCGATAAAAACTGCTCCCTCCTACCTACTACATGAGTCTTTATATACCTACGTACACAAAGGACTGTACTAAAGAGGAAGTATCAAGGCTGACATATTGTACTTGGTTCCATTGTCGTATCCGCGGGAGCGCGGGTCGTTACAGCTAAGATACGAAACGGATCGAAATTGTATCTCAGGGCGATGTACGCGCAGTCACCTTTGCAGACGAAAGTCAGGTTATAAGAGGGTATGACAGCGGTAAAATTCGTCGATGGAAGATTGAAGATGGACAGCAACAAGGTCAAACCATGCAAGCAAGTGGCAAGATCTTTTCTGTTGTCGTTTCCCTGGATGGCGAGCGGATCGTGACTGGTGCCCGTGGAAGGAAGGCGACCGTCTGGGATGCGACCACTCATGGAAAAGTGCTCGAGTTTACAGAGCACTGCAGGGATGTGATGGGGGCCGACATCTCGAGCGACAGCACTAAAGTTGTGTCCGTGGACTGGAGCCACGCCCGGATATTCAGCATCGCTTCCGGTAAACGGCTCCTTCCTCCCCTTCCACCCCCTCATGTTTCCAGTGTCAAGTTCTCCCCAGACGGCAGTCGATTTGCCACCGTCTCGCGTGATCGCGGCTGTCACGTCTACAGCACGGAGAACGGCGATATCTTGTTCAATTCAGGCAAAAAGGGTTCAACCAATTCATTGTCGCGCACTCCGTTGACCTGGTCATCTGATGGCCAGCGACTGTTCGTCGGGAGCCAAGGAAAAATCACCTGCTTCGACATTTCCAATTCTTTATCTTCCGAATGGTCGATCCATGAAAAGCAACCTCGGGTACCCGTAGCATCCAACGGCAGGTTCGTTGCATGTGCCGCAGGCTCTTCGGTTTCACTATGGGATTGCGTGTCGCACAAGCAGATCGGTGGCACCATCATACACATTGCAGAGGTCAACTGCGTTGCTCTCTCGCCAAGCGGAGGATATCTCGCTGTGGATTTGCTGATGGGAAAATCACGGTCCACAATCTCAAAGACGTCCTTCTCTCAAAGTATTTTGACAACGGTGTAAGTGAGCATGTTGCCTTCGGATCTGCAAAACGTGACGATGCAATAACACGGGACCTTACTGCGTTGTCCCCCAGTCTTCCGAGTCTTATTGAGCGGAGCAAAGCCCAAGCGGCAAAAGGATTGTGGGAACTTGCCCTGCAAGATGCGAACGAGTATGCATTGGTATCCTTCTTGTATTGGTCAGTTCTCTACAATAGCTGCGTAGGCGGTGAAAATGGATCCCTCCAGCCCTTGGGGCTACGAGGCCAAGCATGTGGCACTTCATGGAGCGAGGCAGTATGACGAAGCGATCGATGCTTTCAATTCAATGCTACAAGTGATCGAACAGTCGCATGATCCTGCAGTCAAGCGTATGTACCTCCCGTGTCAATCCAATACCCACAAATGACGGTTTCACAGAACTGCGCAACAACTATGTTTCTCCATCCGAGACGATCGCAGCTATCGATTTCATCGTTGACGATATCCTCAAAAAATGTCCCCTCGTCGTTATTAACGTTACTACTGGTTACCTTTACGATAAGACTGAGCGGAAGCATAGCTTCAAGGTTGATCCGAGGTTCAAAAAACTTGTTTCATCCATGACGACAAAAGTGGACAAGGGGCAGATCCGACCGGAGGTTGAAAGTTTCTTCGGATACGTCATGTTCTCGCATGTATGGAATTACCCCGAGGGCCCGGGGAAGGAGCCGTTATTCAAGGACGTCAACGCAGTCAAATCCGTGTGGAACCTTTCGGACGAGCCCCTGAATAACAAATTGCGTAATTTCTGCGAGGAAACACGCAGACTTGGTTGCAGCTGGGCATGGTCAGATACCTGTTGTATCGACAAGACCAATACCTTCATTCTCAATCAATCTCTTAAATCAATGTACAGCTGGTATGCGAATTCGGCAGCCACACTCGTATTCCTCGCCGACATTGCGCATCCGTCCAAGCGGGGGGACCTTACGCGCGGTCGATGGATGACACGAGCATGGACTTTGCAAGAGCTTCTCTCACCGAAGATCATCCTTTTTTATGATTCCGAGTGGAAACGATACCTCGGCAATAATGTCCCGAACCACAAGGACTCTCCGGAAATCAAGCAAGAACTAGCAGTTGCTATCGGGATTCCGCAGAAAACTATCATCGCGTTCTCTCCAGAAAATCTCGGGGTGCGCGAAAAACTTTGTCTCGCTTCGACGCGCAATGCGACGGTCGAGGAAGATATCGCGTATTCTCTTATCGGCATATTCCAGTCCGATATCATACCACAGTATGGCGAAGGAGCCGACGCTCTTGGCCATCTCTTGGAGGGGATTGTAGACCGTACCCGCGAGGTAACTGTGCTCGCATGGTCTGGGAAGTCATCGTCATACTACAGTTGTCTGCCAGCTTCCATTTCCGTTTACGAGCAGACCCTTTCCAACCTTCCGTCACTCGACGGGGAAGAACTGGAAACACGAATCGGGGAATTAGACGTCAAGTTGCCCCGGGAAAGAACTCTGGAAATCTATAATCGCATCAAGGGCCGGCCCAAGTTTACGAACCGACGTCTAGAGCTTCCATGCGTCGTCTTCCCTGTGGAAAGTCTCGAGATGCCATGCGAAGGGGAGGACTCATATTGTGCAAAGGTATCAGGAATTGGAAAGGTGGCGTTCACGGCCGCAGACGATCTTTCGGTGGACAATCCACAGAAATACGTCTTCGTGCATCCGTGGATTCGTCAACTCCGAGGTCCGAGTAGTGGGGTTGCCTGGCGACATTCCTCGGACATTGATAACTATCGCCGGGCACTAAAGATGATTGCCCGCCTCGGTCAGCAGTTCAACGGGTGGCTTCTCGTACGAGTCGAAGAGTATGAAGAGCACAAGAGAGTCGCTACAGACTGCGAGATTGTGCTCCCGGGGCTAGGAACCGACATTCCCAAGGACATGCAAGGGAAAGTCTTAATAATCCAGTGACGTGCGTGGGGGGTTTGGGCTCAGTTTGGTCGGCCTGCCTTTCGTCCTTTATCGATTGTTTTCCTTGCCGTTGCTTGAATGCTTATGTAATACCTGCGACAGAGTTGGAGGAATGTTTCATACACATATTCCATAGCCCTTAGACGACGACAGTCTCAATGACTTCTCCTTCCATGTATTGCTTACCACTTGTACTAGTGAGTGCTGTTGCCGAGTTCCTTGAAGGCGAAGTACAATTGTTTGCTCAGGCGATCAGGTGTTCCAACATCGCATGAGAAGAATGTTTGATGCTTGGCATGTTGATTTGAACCGATCTTCTTCGACTAGCCTCGTTGCTTTGTGAATACCACGGCATGGGGGTGTAGTTCATGTTTTACTCCTATAACACTTCATACCATGTACATCGCATACGACGATGTTACTCGCACGAGACAGGGTACTCCGGCAGGCGCGAAGTTGAAGGAGGGGGAGAAGCAGGAGGGTGGTGCTAGGACTGGAGGTGCGAAGACTAGGTCCACAAGAGCGACGGCGTGATCTAGGACGTGATGATCTTTGAATGTCAGTTGTGTAATTTGTATTATCATGTATTGCTTTGCAACACGCGATTGGGGAATCTTTTGCCTGAACTACAGACACTCCTACAAACTCGGGACATCAAGTTATACACCACATCTGATCGACCGCTGTGGCATGTACACGAACTGCTGTTCCTGGAGCCCGATCTGGATACTGAAGATACATGTAACCAACAATTCTGCACACAAACTCAGTCAATTGCATCCCACTGTCCACTTCGACAGTGCCCTCAATGATCACGATCGCGGCAGTGGGATGCATACCAGGGTGATCATCATGCCTGACTATCACTGCTAAGTTCCGCTGCAGCGGAATTTCCCGACGGGCCCGTCGTGGAAGAGCAAAGAGTTGTCCCAATACACTGCCTGTCTCAGCAGATACCATGTCGATGACATGGGGAAGCATTGCCTCCGAACCATGCCGTTCTTCTTCGCTCTCAGCAAAGACAAAGCCACCGTACTTGACATGCAGGCCAGCAGAGTCGCAAACGCAATCCTCCCAACCCATGAAAGTGGTTTGCGGGCAGGCAGTGATCAACAGGGGCGCCCAACGAAACGGCTCAATGCTTAGTTTCTCTGGTTCCTCGCACCACATCACACCAAGTGGGACCTCTCGCATGAGAACGTAGAAGTTGGCCATCCGTTGTTCCACGTCCGCACCGGAAAGAATAGTAGATAGGTCTTTGCCCAATAGGGAGGCAATGCATACCGGTACGTCTTCGGCTTTGCTAGTTGACCGATGCTCTATGGCAGAGTGTATGACCCTGAATGGCGACCAGCCTTTTCGCATATTGCGCATCATGCCCACAGATGGTAGTTGCGCCCCGAGCTCTAGCATTATACCTCTGTCGTGAAGAAGAGACCGCTCCTCTGCCTGGATCTCGGTTGTGCGTTCGTCGACACGTCGTAACGCACTCCTATTGTGATCGTATTTCTGGTACAAGAAAGGTCCATCGCGCATCTGGAAGTACAGGAGAGTAACGTTATGCGCCTCACTCGCCAGTGTTGCCTCTTGTAGTGTCCATAGGCGCTTCATCCAGCCACTGCACAGGATGCGCAACCCCAGCTCCAAAAATGACGCTGCAGCAGATTCGACGATTTCAAGTTCCCGATCGAGAACCAAGACCGCATCTGCTTCATTGAAAGTCTCCCCTAGGAGCTGGATAGCTTTCCTGCGGTACGCTCTTGCGCTTGGCTCGACGGGTATGCAGAGCGTATCCAGCCAAAGTGCGACTGGCAAGTCAGCTGATTCAGAGGCTAATGCAGGTTTGTGTACGCGGTATAGTTCGTTTGCATAATCACGCAATCGACGAAGCTGGCATCTAGGAAGTGCGTTTGTGAGCGGGTTTCCAAGCCCATCGGCCCCTTAATGGAGACAGAAGATCAGTGGAAGAAGGAGTGGACAGCAATGGAGACGTACAAACATGGGAGAACGCAATATATGGGTAGTTGTCTTCTACAACCATTCGTAACTCCAACTGCTCAGTAATACACAGCTTGGGAACCTTGTCCTGGGACAATGCATTAACCAAAAGACTTGTCGGTACACCCACGAAGTTGCAGCTGCATCCGTCCTGCACATGCCTCGTAACGTAAGTCGCCTCATCTGTCTGATATGCATTACAAATAACATCTCCACAGCCGGAATGATCCCTGATTCTCGGGCGAGTGAGGAGGGATGCGAAGGCCAGGTCGTCAGGTGCTAGCAGGTATATCTCGCTCGTGCACCAACCTCGCTCTGCGAGTTCCGTCTGCGCTATATCGGACAACTGGTCCAATCCCTCGCATTCGCGGCCGATCCAGTCCACGCTTTTCAAGATCCTCTCGTGGCCCCATCCATTCTCATTGGTCACCATAAATCCGGGCATGTATACGTGCAAAAGCAGGTGCAGAGCGACAATACGGGCGGTGATGTCGAGAGAGTGCAGGACACGACATTCGGCGTACGTGTACTCGAACCTCCGGGTACCATCCTCGGCGAGCTCTTCAGAGAGTATTAAGACTGCATGTCGCGCGATCGATAGAATATGTTCCATGAGCGCATGATCACCTGCTCGATTTTTCTTCACTGCAGCCGCGAACCATCTCCCTGGTAAGCCATTGAGCTTCGCAGTGGAGACAGATCCATTGCCAACAATGAACTCTACCTCGACATCGAGCTCGAGTCCGCATAAAGCGGAGACTTCCGTGAGGACGCCAAAGAAGAGCCAAGCTTGGAGGAACGCGACTTTGTCACTGGCAGTGACTGGCATTCCGTCGACACGCGATAATATTGGCGGTTGGGCCTGCCTCGTGTGGCCAATGTCTGCCAGGCTCATGCCGTCACGGCAAATGCCTGGTGGACAGAGGACATGACATTTCTCGTCCTTCGTGTGTATGATCCAACCGTGGCGCTCTGGATATGTCCAGAACCCTTTCCCATCATATGGCTTGGACATGCAAAGGTATGGAATTGTGAACGGGGTGAATTCTGGACGGGGGGGCATGTCTGGGGAGACGTTGGGCATGGTCAGAGACCAACCGGTACTAGAAGTACTCCTCCGGAAACGACTAGTGCCATTGTCCTGTGCATTACAGCCGACCCTCGTATGATTATCATGTAGAAGAGTGCCTTGGGAAAGCCATGCCCCAAGAAAGAGGTGAAAAAACCCTGAGAATCGAGTTTAGCAGCATAGGCAATCGGACCACCACTGTGAGAGGATGCTCACATAGGGCGGCTGTTACGATACCCCTCCAGATAGAAGAAAGAATTTGGAACGGCATGATACCGTTGTCGGTGATCTGACAATTACTTATGCAGGAGAGAGAGCTGCTTACCCGCACATCTAACGTGCATTGGCAGTGAGGTATCCTCGTGCTCAGATGTCGAAACAGCGTGGCTACGCGAACTCGTAACCAAACAGCATAGTTTCTTAAGTCAAATTACACCAGGGGTAAGATCTCCACGTTCATTTTACGAGCCCATGTCACTCGGGGGACGTGTTGTGTCCCCGCCATGTTCTCCATTGCAAGTACTTCTGTCTCTCTAATTGTGCGACTATGTACCTCATTTTACAGAAAGAGCTCACCCACACGATCCTGCTCCACCCTTCGTGCTTCGGACCCTGCATACTCCAATTCTTGGAGTCCAAGCTGTGCGCAGACGTCAAAGGTACATGCTCAGGTCAATATGGCTACATTATCGCTGCAGTCTCGATCCTGGACACCGACAGAGGAATAGACATCGGCAGAAGTGAACAGGCTGAGTTTGTCACGCGTTTTCAAGCCGTCCAACGGAGAAGTTGTTGATGGCGTTGTGAATAACGCATGGGCTTCTTCGCTGACGTAGGACCCCTACAAGTTTTCGTATCACATCAGGTGCGTACGCTAGCCCGCGACGCAAAGTTGTCCCTCACGCTAATCATCAGCTTATACTCATATTTGCTAACATGAAATTTAACCTCATCTCTAAGCTTCTGTCATTTGCTTCAGATGACCATATCATCGAGAAAAATACGCGCGTGCGATTGAAGATCATCGGTACTCGTGTGGACGCCGCGGAAATTGCACGTTACCTGGCTTTTTTTTTTTCGTTCGCTTTGGCTCACCTGCTCGGTAGTTCGCTATAGGCACGATTAAGGAAGATCATCTGGGCGTGATTGATTAGATCAGAATAGTATGCGTGACTACTAACCTGCTATTGTTGTTACTCTCAGCCCTCGTTTGGTGATTCACTCGCACTCAGCTGGATGAAGGCGCGATTGTGCTGTGCCCTACATACATGTGAGGGTAGGCTACTGCACATCTTTGTAGTCGAAAACGAAGAAATAAAGACAAATGGAAACGAATAAATGAGAGGACGAGAGCAATCTATATGAATAAGAACCCATATCAACTATGTAGAGGACTTCCGCTCAGGCTTGTTCCAACTTGCCGCATAAATAATGTATTTGTCTACACTCCCTAGGCGGGTGAGAGGTCACAAGGTTTGTGTTGAATCAGGGATGGTGTGGAAGGAATACTGGATGCAGCCTGGGAAACAAAGTCAACGACGAGAATGACGTCAGAAAATAGCGACTCACGTCGCATGGAACGTTTGACATGGCTGCTTGTCCAATGAAGGTAGAGAGCACTGCACCTTGCGTGATGTCGTGTTCAACGTGAGGAGTACGGCTGTTCAGTCTGATGATAGGCGCAGAGATTTCTATAAGCAAGTGGACGGAGGTGAAGGACTCTCCTAAGCTCACGCGGCAAGGAAGGTATTGGTGTAGACTGTCAGGAAAAGTCGGGTAAGACGTAGTCAACAGGTGAGTTACTGAAGTCGACACCCTACCATCTGCGAGAACGATGTAGAGCGCTGACCATATAACTAGCAAACAGAGTGTGAGGTGAGAAGCGGCTTGCCACAGTTTTGTATACTACACATACAGGTGGTCCGTTGCAAAGAAAACTGTAGTGGATCATCAGTACTTCAGTGCTGCTGTGATTAATACAGCAACAAGCCCTGACTCACGGAAATGGTGACAAGGACAGCATTTATGCTGTGCTCTACGGGTCGGTCTGAATTCCAAGTAACTCATGTTGCTTGGTTACCTTGTCACAAGCCCGGTTTCTGGCTGCTTGTAAGGAGCGATACAACAGCGATCCTAAGAAAAAGGAAACTCACCTATCGACCATACAGTCAACTTATCCAGTAAATCGATAGTCCTAAATCGACCAGTCATCACAATCAGCGATCATTCTGACTACCGTACCTACCTCGATATCTTTGTCTTTGCGCGCTGTTTCCTCAGATGGAAAACAAGACCCGTTGTGATGATCAGATCACACATTGCACCACTAACCAAGGTCAAAATTGTTAGCCAGTACTGAGCATTCATGTTCCCTTCCAATGATTGTCTATTGAGGGCTCTTGCTGCGTCGACGAGCGTGCCGACGAAACTGATCCCACCTAGGACGAAACATATCATGGACAGCAGCCAACTCCCGGAGAATCTGTAAAGACGGAATGCGAAGAAGAGCTGGTGGAATGAGCCGAGTTCTGTGTAAGAACATTGTTCGTCAAGGTTTCGTACCTGAACAAGATAGCATATGAAAGGTGTGATAACCAGATTGGCTCCTCTCGAAGGGGTGAATATCGTGACTTCGTTAGGTTTTCCAAATGCAGTGACGGTCACTATCCATGTCCAGTAGATGACACAAACGATGTGCGCGAGAGTCAGCAACCTAGTTGGGGAATTGAAACCAATTCCACTATCACTCATAGGCGAGGGCATAAAGACGTGGACATACATGATGGTACCTACCTGCTAAACGTAGTCTCAAGAAACCAACATCATACAGTAGCGAACACTTACCAAAGTCTTAATGATCGTCGAGTCCGACGGGAATCGCCTATAGTATCCGAATGTCTGTATGACGGAGCAACCGAAGAGGCACGACGCTAGTGTTGTCCCAACCAGAGCTGGGCCAAGAGTCAACTCTGCATTAAAGCTACTGCTCGACATGAAAGGAGGACGAGGGTAACCGTGATCGAGGTGCAGACGTGGCACCTGCGATCAGTCAAGGGTATTATATCATTCCCCATGGAAGCCATCCTTGCCAAGAAAGAGGTAAGCAGTGCTGCTCTACCTTGGGATATATTAGGAGGGCACCATATGTACCTATATCGTTTACATAGTCCCGCGGATGATGATTCGATGATCAAGCGACTTAACAGCAATGATGCCGATGAGGCTGTGGAAACGACCATCAAGGCACAAATATTTGCGTGTCGCAACACGCACAGGTTCAAGGTACTAGTTACGCCTTTCCTTCGACATATTTCTTCTGGGAACGCTTGCTCTATAGATGACTTTACTGAAGGCAGACGAAAATACTGGATGTTGTGGAAGGGCATAATCTGACACTAGGTATCATTACAAAGACTTACACTGCCAAAATCTTTTGTCGTGTGAACTGATCCGCAGTGCACGTATTGCGGGTGCTAAGTGGAGCGATGTCTACGATGCTTCCTTCTTTTCCCCTCTAAACGCCAGTGTGAAGCTGTTTTGGCAGGCTTGCCAGCGACGTCGATGAGTGCGTACCAGCAGTTAGAGAGGCTGAGGCAGCCCTACTGACAGTTTGCTGGGGTGGTTACTTAAGATGCGAGACGGATCGAAATGGTATCTTACAGTGATACATACGCGGTCACTTTTGCGGGTGAAAGCCATGTCATAGGAGGGTATTATGGAAGTGGTATTCGTCGATGGAAGATTGAAGACGGACAACAAGAGGGTCCACCCATGTTCGGGAATGGGAGTATCTATTCTGTTGTCGTTGCTCAGGATGGCCGGTGGATTGTGACTGGAGACCGCGCGGGGAACGCAACCATCTGGAACGCAGCCACCCATGAAAAGGTGCGCGAGCTCACAGAACACAGTAGCTCTGTATTCGGGGTCGACATCTCTAGCGACAGCACCAAAATTGCCACTGCGGACCACCAAAACGCCCAGATATTCAGTTTCTCTTCCGGTATCCGACTCCTTCCTCCCCTCCGGCACATTCTGGTTAATGGTGTCAGGTTCTCCCCGGACGGTAATCGATTTGCTACTGTCTCGCATAATGAAGGTTTCCGTGTCTACAGCACTCACAATGGTGATGTCTTGTTCGATTCAGGTCAAAACGGTTCAGTCAGTTCAAGTCCGGTCGCTCCGTTGGCTTGGTCGTCTGATGGCCAGCAGCTGTTCGTCGCGAACAAAGGAAAAATCACCTGTTTGGACCTTTCCAAGTCGCTGGCTTCAGAGTGGTCGATCCATGACAACCAACACAGGATATCTATAGCATTTAACGACAGATTCATTGCATGTACTGCAGGTTCATCGGTTTCACTATGGGATTGTGTGTCCCGCAAGCAGATCAGTGCCATTATCACACACACCGCAGAGGTCAAATGCATCGCTTTCTCACCAAGTGGGCGGTATCTCGCATGTGGAAATGGCTGGAATATCACAATCCACAATCTCGGGGATGTCCTTGCTTTCGACCCTGCTGTAAGCTTACATCTACCTATGAACGTCGCATCACTAACAATCAATACGTTGCGTAATACTTTAATGGATTACTAAAGGAACTCCACGCTTCTCAGCTTCCACTCGTACAAATGAGTGACGAGACCCTCAAATCATGGACACAGGTTAACCTGACCAACATCGAGGCGCCGCTGTCAGAGGAGATCGCAAGTGCTTCAAGTCCCAGCCACCACGTCCTAGCAAACCGCGCTCTCATACGAGTGCGTTTGAATCATCCGGCACTTGCCATAGAGGACGCCAAGGAGGTCAGCCTGCTTTCTCGCTTCCCCATGCACATGTTCGCTCACGCGTGCATTTCAAGTCCCTCCGTGTTCAGTCATCGCCTATCGGCCATATTGCGATGGCAGTTGCTCTACTTGGCCAGGGTGATCGAGGGGGAGCGCTGCGCACATTCGATCTCGCCTTTCACGATTGTGAGCCGCGCGATAACAGATTTCTCTTATTACTGAAGGTGTGTGAGATGGTCTAGATTTTTCCCAGGATTTATCTATGTTCCGCTCAGTCGATACTTGTGTTCGAATCCGGAAATCAAGAAGAGGCGATAACGCGTGTGGAGGACCTTGCTACGAGAGCGAACAATAACAACGATGATGAGGCCACTTACCTTTACACCCAGGCGTGTGGTCTGCATGTGCAGACATGTGAGTGTTCCTGCTGACACACTCCGCAGGTCCTTGGAGTTATGTGCATGAAGGCAGGAGATTACAAGCGTACAATACCATTGATCGAGCATGCGAAACGCTTAGCCCCCAAGGACAAACAATGCCCGCCGCTGGTGACGATCTCGCTCGTAAGTACTCTACCGTCGCTAGCTACTAATCTAAACCCCTATGAAGATATTTGGGTGGAATTTCAATGGATTGGATATCATTGCTCAGCAGCATCTGTGTGAAACCTTCTTTACTGAACAACGTACCACCGAAGCCATGGATATTCTGTTCAACATCATCAGGACATCAGACGAGGAGACCCTCAGGAGCGAGCCAACTGCTGACTGGATCGCAGGTCCGTATTTTAGCCGCCAGTCTGGTTGACTGCATGTTAGTGACCGCCGTCAGATTTCACCAAAAGGTGTGCCACGACACTTGAGCAAGTTGGCGATGAAGCTTTTGGATTTGCTGCATCATCTCCCAGTCCTACAAGTCCCGCAGGTCTGTTTATCAAGCGGAGCAGAGCTCGAGCGGCAAAAGGATTGTGGGAGGATGCACTACAGGATGCCAATATGGTACGCATAGCGTTCGTCTATAAGCTGGTCCCCTACAGTTTCCGCATAGGCAGTGAAAGTAGACTCCTTCAACCCTTGGGGCCACGAAACGAAGTACCTGGTTCTTCATGGAGCAAAACGGTATGACGACGCGATTGATGCTTTCAAGTCCATGCTGCAGGTAATTGAACAATCTCATGACTTTTCAATCAAGCGTATGCACCTCCTGTATGAACCTCATATTCACAAATGACGGTTTTACAGAACTGCGCAAAAACTATGTTTCTCCATCTGAGGCGATCGCGGTTATCGATTGTATTGTTCGCGAGATCCTCAAAAATTGTCCCCTTGTCATCATCCATGTCGCCTCTGGTTGCCTTTGCGACGTTCCTGAGCGGATCCGTATCTTCAAGGCTGATCCATCATTCAAAGAGCTTGTTTCATCCATGATGACAGACATAGACAACGAACGGATCCGACGAGTTATTACAGGTTTTTTTGGATACGTAATGTTTTCGCACGCATGGCAAGGGAACGAGCCGTCATTCGAGGATGTCAACGTAGTCAAATCCGTATGGAACCTTTCGGACGAGCCCTTGAATAAGAAATTGCGCAAATTCTGCGAGGAGACACGCAGACTTGGTTACAATTGGGCATGGTCAGATACCTGTTGCATCGACAAGTCCACAAGTTCCGTCCTTAATCAATCTCTTACATCCATGTACAAATGGTATGCGAGTTCGGCAGCCACACTCGTATTCCTCGCTGGTGTGGCCCACCCGTCTAAGCCCGGGGACCTTACCGGTAGTTTATGGATGACCCGCGCATGGACTTTACAAGAACTTCTCTCACCGAAGGTCATCTTTTTCTATGACTGCGAATGGAAACCATACCTCGGTAATATTGTCCCGAACCACAAGGAATCTCCGGAGATCATGCAGGAGCTAGCAGATGCTATCAAGATTCCCCGCGGAACCATCATCACATTCTCTCCAGACGATCTTGGGGTGCACGAGAAACTTCGTCTGGCTTCGACCCGCAATGCGACGGTCGAGGAGGATGCTGCATATTCTCTCATCGGCATATTCAAGTCTGATATCAGGCCTCACTACGGTGAAGGAGCCGACGCTATTGGACACCTCCTGGAGGAGATTGTGGCTCGAACTGGCGAGGTAACGGTGCTTGCATGGTCAGGGAAGTCATCGTCATACAACAGTTGTCTCCCAGCTTCCATTTCCGTTTATAGCCAAATTGCTTACAACCCTCCGCCTCTCGAAGGGGAAGAAATGGAAAAGTGCATCAACGAATTACGTGGCAGGCTGACCCGGCACCACGCGCGGATTATATACAATAACATCAATCGTCTTTCCCCCGCCCGCTTTGCAACCCGACGTCTGCACCTTCCATGCGTCGTCTTTTCTGTGAAAAGTCTCGAGAACCCATGTAATGGCAATGAGAAGCTTTATCGTGCCAGGGTATCGGGACTTGGAAATGTAGAGTTCACGACCGCAGATGATCTTCCACTACACGAAGCAAAGAAATTCGTCTTCGTGAATCCATGGATTCATCATATCCGAGGTCCGAGTAATGGGGTTACTTGGGGAGATGGCTCGGAGTCTGATACTAACTCTGACGCGGATGAAGTTGCGTCATTACCCACTGTGCCCATGCCCCCGGTGGACAGCTACACCCGCGCACTAGCGATGATTGCCCGCCTCGGACAGCCATTCAACGCGTTGCTTCTCGTACAACAGTCGAATAGAACGTACAAGAGGGTTGCTACCGGGAGCGAAATTGTCGTCCCGGGGCCTGGAACTAACATCACCCCCAAGAACATTCGGGCGAAAGTCTTGGAAATCCTGTGACACACATATGGGGGTTTGAACTGAGTCAGACTGGTCTGCCTTTCATCCTTTATCTCGATCGCTTTTCATTTCGTGCTGTTCTCGTTAGTTGAGCGCTCATAATTGCTACCTACTTATTTATGTAATACTTGGGGCTGCGTTGGAGAATGCTCATATTCATGTGCCATGAATGACGACAGTCTCAATAACTCCATCTATTACCACTTGTACTATGCATACATCCTTTGCCATTTACAAGATCCTCAACCCTGTTCATGTGAGTAATTCTCGTGCGGTATCACGAATTCGATGAAATGGCTTCCTGGGGGTTTTCGGAGTGCCCCCAGAAAGCTCTTCCGTTCCGATTTCAACGTCACAGTCGTCCTCATTATAGCCCTACCGACATTGTTCATCTTGGCGTAGCATCATCCGTGTAGTGAAAGCTTGACCCTCCGACGAGGAATCGCGACCCCCACACGCACCCCATATTTATCTCCCTTACTATCATCTGTCGCGCCGTTCCTCCAAGCTATGATGACAT